TTACTCTGGGCACCTCAGGCTTGGAGACCCCAAGGGAATCCTTGACACACAGCCGAGGAGGCACAGGACAGCTTCTGGGGGTGCAGCTGTGGCTGCAGAAGGTGACCGGTTGGTGGTCGGCAGAGTGAGGAGAGGTTTTGAGGCGCTCCTGAGTTGGGGGAGGTGACATTTTGTCCCCCACTCTCTTTCAGACTGATGAGGTTGCTTTGTGAGGAGCCTACCGCTGAGTTTTTGTACCATGCCACTCGGTTGTACACCCTCAGTCCCGCTGGGGCTCCCCTGCCTGCCTCCCCGCTGGTCCTTCCCTCCACCGGCTGGTGACTCACTCAGCTCTTGTGCAACAGCCTGGCTCTCGATCTCCAAGAAGAGCTGTTTTCCTCCCTGCCGTAAACTCCTCTCCTGATTTATGTCTTTTCATTTGGGTTAATGCTTTCCACATTTAGGTCTGGAGATTAGTGTGTGGCTCATTGCTGCAACCACCGAAACCCCAGTGCCCAGCTTGGTCTGGCGCAGAGGAGGCAGCCAGCCAGAAAGCCACACAGACGGCGGGGGGCAGCTTGGAGCTCTGCCCCCGAGCCTGTCTGGCCTAAAGCTGCCTCAGGCCTGCTGCTCTCCCTGCCCTGAAGGTGGACATGGAGCGGAGAGATAGCCCGCATTTCCAGCTTGCTGGGGGCTCGGTTCCCTGCCAGTTTCCTGTGAAGGGCACGCATCTTGTGATGGTGTGAAGTGGTAATTTCCCTGAGCCTGTGACTTCCCACTGAAGCAGCCTTGTGTCAGGAAGTGATAGGCAGTAGTAGGGTGTAGAAAAATCTATCTTTGTAGTTTTGAAAGCTGTCACATGACACTGTGTGTGTGTGTGTGTGTGTGTGTGTGTGGTGTGGTGTTCCTCTTCCTCTATTTAGAACAATAATATTACCTTTGTTGCTATGGTGTTGTGGGGGTGGCATACTGGAGGCAGCCCTGGTGCAGGCCAGTGCCTGGTGTCCATAGTGACTATCAGAAGGCAACGATGAGACTTGCTTTTATTTTCTTCCCTGGAGTGAGAAGCTGGCAGGGGATCATTCAGTGGTGGTGATGTCTGATTTGCCTTCAAGTGACCACTGTGGTGTCTACCTGAGTCAGAAATAGGACCCTGAAGCTGGGCCTTAGGGTAGGGAGACACATTCCTTGCTTTTTTCCAAAGTTCGATTACAGTCTAAATTAACTGAGGGCCAGGTATCTGGGACTTCCTATTAGATACCCCGAGTGACAAGGAAAGATACACTCTGAGCAAAGCAAGGGAGCCCTGTACTCATGGCATCCTGGAAGCGTAGGGCTGGTGTGCCCCTGACAGATTGTATCATCAGTGGAGAGAAGTGTTTAGGTTGCATTGTAAACTTTTAGTTGTGCCTGGACATAAAATGGGATTGAATCTTGGTGAACCCCATTGTAAGTTGAAAATACCATTATGTCAAAAGTCTGTATATTGTATATGGCCTACCAAGCATTCTAGCTGAGCATCTCAGCACACCCTTGTGTCAGTTTCCCCTTGTGATGGCAGAGTAATTGGGAGCTGGGTCTTGCTTCTGCTGCTGTTGCCTAGCATGAGATAGAGGATCATACTGCCTTTCACTTAGTCTAGAAAAATATCAAAATTCAGAGTTCCAAGTATGATTTGCTCAGAATGCATATCACACTCACACCATGGTAAAGCCAAAAAATCACTGGGCAGATCAGCCTAAGCTGGGGCTTGTCTGTATCTCTTTTGTTCATTTTATACTTAATGAATAAGTAATATATGCTCAGGCTTGATATTTGAAAGTTGCCATAGAACACAAAATGAGAAGTTGGCCTCCCTCCCAGCCCTGTCTTTCCTCTGTCCCTTCTCTTCCCTAGAGACAAACAAGTTACCACTTTCTTGTGGGTGCTTCCAGAAATAATGTGGGGATTTACAAATGTGTGTGTCCTTTCATTTCCCTTAGCTCAAGTATTAATTTCCTCAATACCGGTGTTCCCCCTATTCTCTGCACTTTGCTTCTGCTGCTGTTCATGTTTATTTATGCATTCATTTGTAAGGCTGGGGCTGGAACCCAGAGCCTGAAGCATGCTGGGCAACCAGTGTACCACCAAGCCACATCCCCCAGCCCAACTGCTGCTATTTTTACACTGTATAATATATCTAGGAGTTTAGTTCATAAAGTCCTCCTGTTTGAGGCCTTCCTGACTCATTTCACCAATGGCAGATTGCTTCTGATCTTTTCGCATTACTTCTGCCTGTAGCTGATGAGGATAACCATGAACATCCATATATGTGTCACATGTGGGTGGATGTCTCTTGAAGGGTAAATTCCTGAGGCTGACTGGCTGGACCCTAGACTCTGTGTGTGTAATTTTGATGGGAATGGCCTCATTGCCTCCAACGAGACAGGTTTGGTATACTCTTGAACTAATCTTTGGTATACTCTAATTTTTGGTATACTCTTGCACAGCGGGCGGTGATGTCTATTTTTCCACAGCTTTACCAACTTAGTGTGTTCGGATTTTAAAACTGTGGCTTGGAAAAGTCACAGTTGCGTTTGCTCTCTGTTGGAGTGGTCTACCGTGTCTCCCCCACACTACTGTTGCCTGCCACAGGGCAGCAAGTGGATGGCTCTTGCCTGGGTCCTGACGACCCTTGGGAGCCCTACCCCTTTTTGTCCTCCGTGTGGTTAGTTGTGCCCCTTGAAAGCTGGTGGGTTGTTTGACACACTCTTGGGTCTCAAGGTAGGCCTCCTTTTCAACATCTGAGTATTTTTCCTGCTGATAATGCTGATGTGTTTCCTACATGTGACTCCCTTATCTTTCCCTACTTCCCCCTTTCTAAACTCCATCTGCCCGCCTCGCCCCTGCACAGTCCTAGCTCGTATTTTATAGTGTCCGCTCTGTTTCTTCTGCTTCTTACACTCCAGAGATACAGTCTGTCCAGTGCAAAGCCAGATGCCTCTGGATGCCACTCCTAGCTGTCTCAGGACCCACTCTCAAGAGTGAATTCCAAGGTGGAAAAGGGTGTGGTGTTAGCGTTTCTCTTTCCCTGAGATATTCTGGTCAGGGGCTGCAGGTGGACCTGGAGCTAAGAATGCCTGCAGAGATACCCCAAGCTATTCCATCAAACTTTCTACAAAGATGGAAACATTCTGCACTCCTGCTACTCAACAGAGAGGCCTAGGGAGCACTTGGGACGTGGCTAGAGTGACTGAGTCTTTCGTTTAATTTAATTTGAATTAATATACATTTAAACAACTCTCTGTGCCCCGTGTCTACTATATTGGACCATGTAGTTTTCAGCTGTGCTCTTTAGGATAGGAATAAGAGGAAAAGAGCCCCAGGAGCAGAGGATGTCTGGCCTGGGTTTCCTCTAAGTCAAGATACAACTGCCGTTCTTCCTGAGGGTAGCCAAGCTCAGTGACCTCATTTGGGAACTTATTTTCCCTACTGTAAACATGATTAGGATGAGGCTGCCAAGCCCAAGGAGGATCCACATTCCTACTTGGAAGGTGGGCATCCCTTGAGCAACTTCGATATCCTCTGGTATATATATCATTGGCCCTGAGCTGGGCTTTGCGGACACAGTGACCAAGCAGATTGGCTCTGTCCAAATGAGCATTCGGTGCTGATTTGCAGTACCCGGGTTAAATACAGACACATGACGTCAGTATAAATCGTGACCCTCGGATACCTAGACATTCACCTTGCAGTGTTAGAGATAGCAGGAGAGGCGTGTGAGCTTCCCACTGCTGCTGGGAAAAAGCCACAAACTTAGTGACCAATGCAACACCTTTCTTGACTCGGAGTCCCAAGGATCTGAAGTCTGAAATAAATCTTACGAGGCTAAAAAGTGAAGGCGTGGGTCTGTGCAGGCTCGGGGAAAATACCGTTCCTTTCCTTTTGTATCTGTTGGACGCGTGGCTCATGGTGCCCCATCCTGTGGCTTTTCTCCCTGTTTCCCTTCTTGTACTGGCTTCTTCTCACTTTGACCACCCCCGGCCCTAGCTCTAGGTGTTGAACCTCGGTGTCTTAATCCCTCGGTCCCTGAGACGTGGTACTCCGGCTTCAAGGAGACATTTATTTATTTGTCTCACAGTTTCAGAAGTTGCAATCTGCAATCTTCTGGCTCAAACACAGAACCAGGGTGGTGGAAAGGCCTGCTGAGGAGGCAGGGCTGCTCACTTATAGTGGCCAGGAGGCAGAGAGCGAGGGGAGGAGCCAAGCTGGGAGACCCACCCCTCCAGGTCACTCCTAGAGGCTCACCTCTTCTGACCAGACCCTGCTTCCTGACAGCACACTCACCTGTCCAGCTCAGTGGCGGGATCCACCAGCGAGCACAGTGCCCTCATGAGCCAGTCACCTTCCACACATGAGAACTGGGGGGCACCCCAGGTCTAAACCCCAGGATCTTGCTAAGTTGACCATGCTGAGCTTGAACTTGGGACCTTCCTGCCTCAGCTTCCTGAGTAGAAGGGATTACACGTGTGCCACCCTTGATCTTCCTGTCTTCCTCTTCGAAGGACCCTGGTGATTGCATTTGGGACCTGCCTGTTAACCCAGTGTAACTCCCCATGTCAGATCCCTAATTTAATGCACCTCATGAAAGTCCCTTTTGCCAAATAAGGTAACATTTATAGCTTCTGGTCATTAAGATGTGGATGTGTTTGGGGTGCATTCTTCACGCATCACAGACAGTACTTTTCAGTAATTGAAGAAGAGCAAGTTCATGCGAGAGAAAGTTATGAACCAGACCGTCGCTCCCTGTTTCTGGGTTAGTGGTCCTGGGCAGAAGCTGTCCACTCACGTTGAAGGACGGATGTTCTCAAACAGTGGCTGATGTTCTACAACAGTGGTTCTCAAATTTGCTGAGCGTCAGAATCACCTAGGGAACATGGGAAACTTGGAAAGGCCCCAGACTCCAGGGAGCCTGGACCTGTGTGTTCTCTGTTAGCTCTCCAGGAGATTCTGATCCTCAGTGAAGTTTGAGAACTGTTGCTGTTAAGTGCGCTCTCAGGGGTGATCTGTGCATCTGCGTGTGGGCGGCGAGTTAGTGTGAAAGCCAGGCTGCAGACAGGAAGTAATGGGGGAGGATCCAAGGAGGGGCCAGTGTCTGCAGAGGTGCTGCCACCTGAACCACACCTGGAAGGCTGGAGGAGGTGTGGCTTCGCCGAGAGAGAAGTAGGGCAAGTGCTCAAAGCCGAGGGAAAGGTCTTACCAGCAGCGCCAAGGTAAGCATGCCACCTTTGGGGACATGGAGGCCATTTGGGACAAGAAGACCTAGATGCAGGGAACTGATCTGACAAGATGAATGTTACCAGGAGTGACCTGCTAATGTTTGCACAGGTGACTAGCGAGAAGAGGTAGTGTTCTGCATGTGGCACTGTTGGGGTGGAGTGAGGGAGGCCACACTCGGTGGCAGGAGCAGTGAGAAAACAGTTGATGGCTGTGAGAGATTCAGGAGGAAATACAAACAGGACACGGGTCTAACAATCCATCAACACACAAGGAGCAGAGTGTGTCAGGCAGCTTGCTCCGTGGGCGCAGGCCGAGGAGTTGGAATGCAGTGGTGAGTAAGATCAAGTTCCCAAATCTCCTAAGTATGCTTTGGGGTGGGGTGGCATAGCGTGGCAGGGTTAGGCAATAAGCAATAAACACAAATAAACAAGAAAAGCATTAGCTGGTGGTAAGTGCTCTGGAGGGTTCCCAGGCTCTTGGGATTGGGAGTGACTGGGTGGCTTCTTTAGAGTGAGTGCCCAGGAAAGGCCTCGCTGAGCAGGTGACATTTAAGCAGATGTCTGGATGCCGGGGAGGAGCTGGCCATGGGAAGAGACGGGACAGCGCTGAAGGCAGAGATGCTAGTAGTAGAAGTGCATAAGGCAGCATTGAATTTGCTTTATGCAAGGAACTGGAGCAGTGTGGTCCAAGAGGACTTCAGCCCTGATGAAAATGTTCTCTGTGCGTGATCCAGCGTGCAGCCTCTGGCCCCGTGTAGCTGTTGAGCACTTGCACTGGGGCTGGTGAAATGGAAAAACTGACATTTTATATTTCGAGTTTGAATTAGTTTTAACTTTAAATAGCTGCATGTGCCTACCATCTCCTGTGTCCGATAGCACAGAGCTAGATGTAGATTTCATTGCTTGTTGAGTTGGGGTAAATAGTTTGGATATTTATTCTTAAGAGTAGTATAGTCTTTGGATGATGTTAGCTTGAAGGTTAGTATGATCTGATTGAATTTTGTGGGGTTTTTTTTTGTGTGTTTTTATTTTTTTTTTGTTGTTGTTGCTGGGGAGTAGAGTGGAAAATGGAGTCTCACTTTAATGCGTAAGCTTGCCTCAGACTTTCTGGGCCCACAACATTCTCCTGCCTCAGCCTCACCAAGTAGTGCGATTATAGGTCCACTGTGTCCAAGTCTCAGTTTTTTTTTTTTTTTTTTTTTTTTGGTACCAAGAATCAAACTCAGGACCTTGTGCTTGCCAGGCAGGCACTTGTACCACTGAGCTATATCCCCAGCTCGGTTCTCAGATTAATGTTTTACAATTTTACTTTGGCTGCCATGTGGAGAATGAATTGTAGGGGATGAAAAGTAGAACCGGGAGATTATAATCATATCAAAGAATGTTGATGGTGCCTTGGGAGTGGGGTGACAGCCCTGGAAAGGAGAAATGTGGATGGGTATTGGATAAGTTCCAGAGATAGACATGACAGGCGTTTGAGGGAATTGGATATGTAAGGGAGGAGGACTTGATGATCCTAGATTTGGAACTTAAGAAACAGGATGGGTATTTATTAAATCAGGGCATGGAGAGCAGGTTTTGCTTTGTTTCAGGAAAACAAGTGCTTTGTTAGCTTTGTTAGATTCCTCCTGAGCATTCATGTAGATGTGAGAAGAAACCAGGTGGCCATGGGTCTGGAGAACTGGGAAAGGTCAGGACTGAGGAACAGAAGATGTACAAAGCTCTGAGTCAGGGGAGGTCATCAAAGATTGTGAGTAGGTAGAAAAGGAGGAGAGAGCCCAGGGGCCCTGTGACATAAGGTGAAGCCCAGGAGTAAGTTCCAGAGAGGAAACTACTTGAGAAAACACATAAGATGCCCCAGAAGACAAGAGAAGTCATGGTTTCCAGAGTGAAGAAATGTTGAAGGCTACTGGCTGGCCTGGGACACTACAAGTGTCCTTGAATTTAGGGACAACATGGAGGCCAGTCATTGAATCACTGAGGAGACCAGGCTCAGTGGAGCGTGTAGGAGAGAATTAGAGGTGAGAAAGTGGAAGCCATGACTACTTGGAATACATTTGGTGAATTTTTTTTTTTTGCTGCGAGCAACAGCAAAGGAATAAGACAGGATCTGAAAGACTGGGATTCAAGGGTATATATGTTTCTGTGATTTTTTGAAAAGGTGTTATATACAGATAGGTTGAAAGCAGATAGGTGGCTTTGTTTGGTTGGTTTCTGTTTTGTCCTGTGGCACCATGGGTGGACCAGAGGGCCTCACGCATGCCAGGCACACCCCAAGCCCTGGTTGGTCACCTTAGGAGGAGGCCACTCTAGCCACTGTGATGAGAGAGAAGCTGAGAGTCTAGGTGCTCAGTGGGTAGAATGGAATCTGAGCAGTAGGTCAAGAAGCAGTTACTGTTGGGGTGTTGCTGTCTTTCTAAGTGAGGGATTAGGCAAAGGTATCACATGAAATGATTGTTTTGAAAAACGAAAAACAAACCCACTGGGTAACTGTAATTGCTAGGTGGCTTGAACCATGTTTCTCAAACTTGAATCTGTACATGAATCACGGGGGATTTGTTAAAATGCAGTCTGCGTTTCTGACCAGCTCCCAAGTGGTGCAGCTGAACCCTGAGCCCCACTTTGAGCAGCCAGACTTCACAGCACTTCTTCAGAAGACACCTACTTCCTAACATGGTGTCCAAGATACGTCTTGTTATTGGCTCAGTTACTTGCATGTAGGGCAGAGTAGCAGGTGTTGGGTGTCTACTTGAGATTTGTGACCATCCATTTAAAGCAGGTCTTCTCAATACTAGAAGTGCCTAGGGAAACCTGTGATTGTTGTGGGATGGATCTTAGGTACTCTACTTTTTGAAAGCTTCCCTGGAGATTCTGATGTTCACTCAAGTGTGAGAAGCAGTGTTTAAAATACCAGGTCAAAGGGACAGGTAGGGGAGTAGATGGCCAAGATGGGGTGGAGGCAAGGCTTTTGTCTAGCATGTGGGCTCCTGCCTGTAAACAAATTGAGTGACTTGAAGTCAGCATTCCATGGTCATTCTAGCTGCTCAGTCTTGTGTAGTCCCACCGAAGAGATGTGGTATCAGCAGGGTCAGTCTGCTCACCAGACTGCCCTCTGGATCTTCACACATTCTAAGATGACCCTAGAAGCACAGTCAGAGCTTCTTGGGACATCTGGTCTACTGTATGCATAAGATCATGAAGGAAGGGAACATTCAAACCTGGGGAGGAGGATGTTCATATGGTTCTGCCAGTCCTAGGTCCCTTAGAAAATTGCAAAGAAGGCAGTGCAGAGGGTAGGGTCTCTTGAACATGCAGTCTGGTCAGGAGCAGGGCTAGAACAGTAATATTGGAAACTTGAAGGTCAGTTTGTAAAATCAGTTTGTATCTTACTCAGTTGCCAAAACTCATGAAGTCAAGGGCTAACACCTTGCAAGAAATGTGCAGGAGTATCTGGAAGAGTGGGTGCTGGCTGTAACACGGAGGAGTTATGGTAAGTCTACTGGCCCTTGGTTTTAAATGGTAGCAGCCCAAAGCCAAAATGGCTCAATAACAGCAACAACAAAAATGTGCGGGATAGCTGGGCGTAGTGGCCCACACCTGCAATCCGAAAAGTCTGGGAGGCTGAAGTGGGACCAGCCCAGGCAATTTAGTGACTTTGCAGGAGCCTGTTTCAAAATAAAATGAATAAAAAAGGGAGGTAGCTCAATGCAAAGGCCCTGTGTTCAGTCCCCAGTACACACACAAACACATACACACACACACACACACACACACAAACACACACATACACTCAAATGAAATGAAAGAAAAAAATAAAACAGACTAGTGTGGGCAAAGGTATTTATTGACCCTCATAAGTGAAAAGCCACAGGTATGTCTATAGACTTGACTTCTTCTAGGGATGTGGTCGGTAGCCTCAAAAATGACCCCCAATGATTCTTGCCTCCTGCATGCTAGACATACCCCAAGCCCTGGTAGGTCCTTTGTGTAATCCATTCCTCTAGAGTGTAGGCAGGAGTTGGTGATTTGCTTATAACCACAGAAGTGGTGAGGTGGCACTTCTGAGCAAGATTACGAAATGGTCCTTGTGTCCCTTTGGTGGTGCATGCCTGTAGTTCCAGCTACTTAAGAAGTTGAAGCAGGAGAAATATTTGAACTCAGGAATTCTAGTCCAGCCTGGGAAATATAGTAAGATGCGTTTCAACCCCACTTTCAATTCTTTTTGAGCTGGGCATAATACTGTACTGTATGCTTGCAGTTCTAGCTACTCTGGATGCTGAAGCAGAAAGATCACTTGAGCTCAGGAGTGGCAACATAGTGAGAGCCCCATCTCAAAAAAATAGCCCTTGTTCCTTCTCGTTTGCCTTCCTGCCTGCTTCCATATTGTGAGCTGTCCTAGGGAGATTCTCATGCAGCAAGAAACTAGTGCTTCAGCAGCCACCAGGGGCTAAGGTCTGTCAGCAGCCACCTCAGTGGGCTTGGAAGCAGATTCTCCTCCCATGGAGCTTTGCGGGGCTGCAGCCCTGGCTGCCATCTTGAATGCAGTCCTGTGAGAGACCTGAGTAAGAATCCAGGTCTGGGAAAGCCGCCCAGACACCTGGTCCCAGAAACTGAGATGGAAACAACTTGTTAAGCCATTAGGTTTTGGGCTAATTTGTTATGTAGCAATAAATGGCTAATAGAAGAGGCAAAGATGGCATCATCAGAGGTTTTCGTCTCTTGGCTTTTAGTTTAGAAGCATATTTAGAAAGATTCTAAAACCTATCAGTAATTTGAAAGGGAGGAAGAAAGGAAGGAGAGAAAAAAGAGACCACAAAGGAAAAGAAAGAGAAAGAAAGGTAAAAGCACAAAAGGAAGCAAGAAACTCACTTGGCACATTTCAAGTGGAGCTGAGGTGGCATGGTTAGGAGGTGGGGTCAGCCTGATCCTCACTCCTAGGACTGCGGAAGAAGCAAGAGTGCTACCCAACCGGAAGTCAGAGCTGGTTTATTGCAGGAAGGAAAATGGTAACTGGTGAGCTGTGAAGCTAGTGGAACCCTTGATAGTCACTTGGGTCAGGTCTTAGGCAGGGAAGGAAGCTGAACAGTCAGTGTCACAGGAGAGGGAGAAGTCTCCAGGAGCGGAAGGAGAACTTGGGAGGAGACCAGCAGCACGAGGGCTGAGGAAAAGGCCCCCGGAAGTGGTGTTCAGTGTGCGTGTGTGTGAGAGAGTGCTTGTGGTGGTATCCATGTGGATATTAGGAAGGAAGAAAGAGGAAGAAACCAAAGCAGACAGGTACAGACCATTAAGTGTCTGATACAAGTGTTTGATCCTGTGTGCTAAGCAGGACACAAAGTTGCCTGGCAGGCCAGAAATACAATGAAATCACCCACAAAATATCCAGGTTGAAAGGAACTGTATACACTTCTCATTTCAACTCTCCTTTAAACCCAAACCACTCTGTCAAGTCCCTTTAGCCCAGTTTCCATTTCCTCCTCGGGAGCCTTTAGAACTCCTAACAAGGAAGGGACTAGAGGGATTTCAACCTCCCCATTTCTCTCCTTCCATTCTTGATCTCCTATGTCGATGCTAAGGAGCTGGACCAATAAGCTCCAGTACTGCTCAGACTCAGCAGGAGGGGAGAGTCCTGCCCTGCAGTCTCCCCATTTTATGCTGTGGAGTAAGAGATGGAGCCTGATGCAGAGTCCAGTGAGACTGAGAGGAAATTGACTAATGGAGCTCACAGGTTTGGGGTGTGTTAGGTTGGCAAGCGTGTAACTAGGTGGCCTGAGCAAGGGAATCTAAGGACTGGCACGCTGAGCACCAAGAAGCCCCAGATGGAAGAGCATTGCTTCTTCCATGGTGTACCTAGGGTGACTCATCTCACAAGGCCCTGGAGAGTCAGGGTCCTATTCACATGGAACTATTGTGTGTAGATGTCTTTGCATTGCTGTAAGTGGCTATGCCCTGCTGGGGATGGGTCTCTTGCCCACTGTGTAGTGTGCCTCATCTGTTGTATCCAGTGTCTGTCCTAACCCCTACAAAAAATACGTTGTGGTGGTGGGATATTAAGAAGCACATTTGTCTGTCATCCCAGCTAATCAGGAGGCTGAGGCAGGCAGACCGTGAGTTTGAGACCAGTCTAGGCAACTTAGCAGGACTTTGTCTCAAAATAAAAATTAAAAAAAGAAAAAAGTCTGGGGATGTAATTTAGTGGTAGAGCACTTGCCAAGGCCCTGGGTTCAACGCCAGCACTACACAGACACACACACACACACACACACACACACACACACACAAAGCTCAATTCATTCTCTCTTCCCTTCCAGTATCTCTAGTGCAGGGGTAGGCAGCTAACTTTGGCCACAGACAGGGGAAAGGGCAGTGGAAAGATCACTTAGCACTGTGACCGTATTTAAACTTCTTCCTGGAGAGAGAGGCTTGTAAGGTCTCTGCCTGCTTGGATGGCAGCCAGCCGCAGGCAAAGCTGCAGACCTCAGCGTTGCTGGTGGATGCCTGGCTGAGCCATGTGGAACCTGTTCTGGAGCTTCAGCTCCAGAGGAACACGTAGAGCTCTGCGCTGGGCCAGTGGAGCAAGTGCTGTTTGGTAAACAAGGGCAGGGTTGGGTGGGTGTGTCCCCTCCTCCCTCTGCACTTGCTTGACTCATAGGGTGCACTCCCAGCAGATCATCAAATCCAGCAGCCTTGTTTCACAAGAGGATGAAGAGACAAGGCTTAGAGAAAGAAGGTCTTGGAATTGGTTAATGGGGAGGTGGGCATCAGGCTTCCATCTCTTGCCTCCACACTTGGCCACTCAGTTAACTGAGTTTGATTATCTGTGTTCAGCAGGAGATGGGTGAGTGTCTGGCTGACTCTTGCCCCACCTGCTATCCCTGTCATGCCTGCTACAAGGTATAATCCTGCCTTATTCCCTTCTTCTACCCTCTGGGCCACTGGGACAAGAAGGCCTGGTGCACCCGTGGCAAACAAAGGCTCCTTTTCTGCGTGGTGCCTGGGTCACCCCAAGCCACCGTCACCTTACGTCCTACTGTTCTTTCTATGTGGTGAGTGCAGAATAAACATCTGGGCGCAAAGGTCACTAAGGGGCAGCTGTCACTAAAGCTGCCACCTGTGTGCAGGTATGGGGGCAGTTGTGGCTAGAAGTGACTTTGACATCAGTCAAACCTCCTGTTTTCGTGGGCAGTCAGCGACCGCACTCCTCACGCACCCCTTATGGCCCAGATCATTCTTCATTCCATGTCCTCTGGTTGTCCAGACACCCTTGGGAGTTTTCTGGGGAGAAGAAGGAGGGACAGGATGCAGTGGACAGGTACAGTGGGTGGACCAGGAGTTTGGGGGCACCTCGGGGTCTTTCACACAAAAGGAGTCCCCTTGTATTTTTTTACCCTCCCCCTGTGGCCTGGCCGGTATATCTTTGGAGTGCTTGCCTATAGATCTCAAATGAAAACATGGAACCCTAATGGGTTTTTACGGTTTGGAGGCCATGGGTTTGTTAAAGCAGTGAAGCCTGGAAGGGAGCCCACAGAGCTCCTGGAGGCCCTGGCTTAGGACTTGAACCTGTGCCCCTTGAGAGTATCACCTGGCTGACACAGCCCATGTGTTCTGATTGTCTTGGTTTTCGGAGGCAAACTGTATGCCTCAGGTCCTCTCCTTGGTGCCGCTGTTCATCTTTGCCCCAGGAACATGGCCATGTTTAAAGTCTGTATGTGGCAGTGCCCCGAGGGACCAAGAAGCCCCAGATGGGAGAGCATTGCTTCTTCTGTGCCGTCTTCCTCCCTCGCAGTTGCAGAAGTATGGAGTGACCTCCTGGGTAAGCTCCAGAGATGACTGGCAGTGGCCCCAACCACTGCCATTGTAGCCCGCAGTCTTACTGGGGGAGACCAGTTGAAAACAGCCAGCTGGGGTAAGTGAGTTCAGGGTGTTATGCTCAGAGGGTGGAGACTTCACAGAGCAGGAGGCCCTAAAAGAAAGAACAGGGTTCCCAGAGCCCAGAGAGGGGAGGCAGCCCACACTGAGGGCTTAGCCTGAGCTGAGGCGCAGAGGTGTCAGAGGAATGCGTGGGGATGAAATAAGGCAGCTTGCTAGAGTGTTTTTGTTGCTATTTGTTCAGTCTCTGACTTAGAAGCTGTCCGGCCTGGCATAGGTTTAGGTCAGCTTGAGAGGATGAGCGGGGAGTTGAAGCCTTTGATGGGATCCTTTCTAATGCAAATATTGGAAAACCAGCTCTGTACGGTTTAAGCAGAAAAGGGAGTGTTTGGGACTCTGGTAAGGGATCCATAGACCATGTGGCTATTGGATGCATTTCAATGATGGTATGCAGTGTTCTATCTCACTTGAGCTGCATCAGCCCCCACCCCCATTAGACAGCCTTCAGGTTGAAGATTGACAACTCCAGACTGGCTTCTTTTCTGCTTGAGGCCTCAGCGAAAGAGAGCTGCTCTCCCCATAAAGTCCCAAGGTTAAATCCCATTGGCTTGGGTGACCCTTGGG